GTATGTGTACAGTCTGGGACATAAATCACTTTCCTCTTCTTTTATAGCACTTCTCATAGTACTATGACATAACAACTTTCTTTTTCTACTGGGCTTAACAAGAAAAATTGTATGTTCCTGATATGTCCTAACTTATTATAAAAAGGAGTAATTTAATTACTATTGTTCAGGGAAGAGACTCTTGAGTGTGTGCCATAGAGAAGACTTCAGACAGACATGCACATGTATGTTAAAAACATTAGATGAACATGAATGCATTTTCAAATATGTTTTAGCAAATGAAAATAATGCAGAACAGTCAGTACTTCCTGTCAAACAATTTTCAGCATAGCTAAAGTTCTCAACCATATTTCTAGAGCACCTGAGTAAAGAAGATAGCATTGAAAAAGTCTTCTGTAGCAGCAGAAGTATTAGAAATGATAATTTGTTTGTCAGCATTTCAATTAGAAAGATGAACTTTCCAACCTTATTCATTTTTAAAGTAGTTTATTCTTCATAATTCTTCTTTAAAATTGGAATCTTAAAGATATGGCTGATTTATTTATGTGTATTACCGTGGTCATTACGGCTTCCCTGCGCATACATACTGCTCAAAATTATCAGACTATCTGAATGATTTGTTTGCGGGTGACTGAAGAACTCACTGTTCTTGTTTTTTAGCATTTCAGATTCAGTTTTGACTGAATGCACACAATAGTTCCCAGGATTTCATTGCTGCTCCTTGACTTGTACATGCTTGTCTTGCAGATTTTCACATTTCTGGGTTTGGACTTCTTCCTCTCCTACGTAAAGAACTCCATTTCCTAAAATACATGTGTATGACAGCAAGGTGGAAGGAGGTAAAGCAAAAAATGCTGTAAAACACCTGTCAGTCTGACTCATCCCAGGTTTCCTGAGGGCAGTCAGCTGATTGTAGCCATCTTGGCATCACAAGCTCAATGCATTTCTGTTTGAGTCACTGCTCCTTATTCTCTCCTTATTCAGTACATCGCTGCTTCCAGTCTCTATGGCAACAGCTGGAAACTACAAGAGTAAAAGTGCTGCAACAGCTGCTTTGAAAGAGCCAGACAGCCTTGAGCCCCTGGTCTGAAAAGGATTATTACTTGTATTGTCCCTGACAGAACAAGCAGGGAATAATGAAACAAAACAAATTAAGAGCAGACCATGTTACTGACCAAGCTCCAAGCAGGCAAAACAAAACAGCTGCCACAAAACACAACAGACTCCTTCCACTCCCTGAACATTGCCCAGAATAGCATTAGCAGAGCTGGAGACAGGGAGTTTTATGTACATGTTCCTGATCGCTTCTCTTCTCCAAGACTAAATAAGTGCAGGTTGGAGTGAGTGTTGCCAGTCTGTGAGACTCTGAAGTTAAGACAAATTTTGAAGGAGCTCAATAAAGTAAGGGCTGTTGGTTGTTCCTTTTCTTTTTTCTTCCAGCTATTAAAGTGTGATAGTTGCATTCATACATCAGAAATGGACTGAGTTCTTCCTTCCAGTAAAATATTCCACCCACCATACTTCTACAGTCTCTAACTAAATATGATTCAGTGTTGGCTAGTGTAAATGGAATTGACTTATTTTAAAGGGAAAAAAAAGTTTTTGGCCGCCCATTAAATGTCACAGAAGAAAGGAGCTGTGTACAGTATTGTTGAGTGATGACTGTCCAGCAGATGTTTTACCCATTATAGTCTAAGCATAATAACATCACTACCAATGAGTAAAAAACAGGAAAAGCCTACCTCCTTGTGGTGATACTGTGGAGGCATTACTGTTATTAGAAGTCCTGTTTTCTTCTTCTGACCTGTCATGTGCAAAGCCTAGAATCTGTAACATTTCCTTAGTGCTATAGGTATGCTGAGTGCCTTAGTATTTGGGGAAAAAAAGTTGTTATCGGGTGATTTATAACTGTTTCCTTAAGGCCCTACTAAGGCATGTGGAAAATAAAGACGTAAAATAAAGAGGTAATGGGTGGTAACCAACATAGCTGCTCTAAGGGCAAGTTATATCTGACAATCTTGGTGGCCTTTTATGATGGAGCTACAGCATCAGTGGATGAAGGAAGAGAAACTGATGTAATCGACCTGGACTTGCGCAAAGCTTTTGACGTTGACCCAGACAACATTCTGGTTGTGAAATTGGAGAAAAGCCTTGATTTGTTGGATGGACCTCTTGCTGGATAAGGAATTGGCTGGATGGTCACACTGAGAGAATTGTAGTCAGTGCTCGATGTCCAAGCGGAGACCAGTGATGAGTGGCCTTCCTCAGGAATTGGTGCTGCTACTGGTGTAATTTAACATCTTTGTAGGTGACATGGACAGCAGGATGGAGTACACCCCCAGCAAGTTTGCAGACTACACTAAGCTGAGTAGTACAGTTGACATGCTAGAGGGAAAGGAAGCTATTCAGAGTGACCAGGACAGGCTTGAGAAATGGGTCCATGACAACCTCATGAATTTCAACAAGGCCAAGTGCAAGGTTCTACATCTGGGTCAGGGCAATCCCATGCACAGATACAGCTTGGGTGGAGAATGGCTTGAAAGCGGCCCTGAGAAGGATTTGGGAGTGACAACGTGTATTTGCAGCCCAGAAGGTCAAACACATCCTCAGGTGCATCAAGAGAAGTGTGACCAGCAGGTCAAGGGGGGGGAAAACTGCCCCTCTACACTGCTCTTGTGAGACTTCACCAGGAGTATTGCATCCAGTTGTGGAGTCCCCAACACAAGAATGAAATTGGAGCAGGTCCAGAAGAAGGCCATGAAGATGATCAGAAGGCTTGAGCATCACACCTACAGGGACAGGCTGAGAGAGTTGGGGCTTTTCAGCCTAGAGTAGAGAAGGCTGCAAAGAGATCTTATAGTGGCCTTCCAGTACATGAAGGAAGCCTACAGGAAAGCTGGGGAGGGATTTTTTATAAGGGCAAGTAGCGACAGGACAAGGGAAAATGGTTTTAAGCTGGAAGAGGGTAGATTTAGTCTAGATATTAGCAAGAAATTGTTTACTGTGATGGTGGTGACACAGTGGAACAGGTTTCCCAGTGAGGTTGTGGATGCCTCCTCCCTGGAGGTGTTCAAGGCCAGGCTGGATGGGGCTTTGAGCAACCTGGTCTAGAGGGAGGTGACCCTGCCTATATAGCAGGAATGTTGAATCTAGATGATCCTAAAGGCCCCTTCCAATCCAAACCATTCTATGTTTTTATGATTCTATGATTCCAGGAGCAAGGTAATTTCCAATGGTTCTGGGAGCAGAAGGCAGAATTCACAAGAAAGATTGAGGAAGCAAGGAATCCAGTCCTGGCTGTTGTGCTACACTGACATGAGCCGCAGCTTGCTATTGTCTGATAGCAGGTCTCACCCAAGGAGGGAAACGCAACTCAGTAGCAACCTGAAGATTGCCCCTTGCTCTGCTCCTGGCTAGTGCCACCAGCCCCAACGAAGATGTCACTTTGTATCTTCCTGTGCTTCCTTTCCTAAATTAGTTGGAAGATACTTTTTTACCTCATCAGGTTCCTGCTCTGGAAAGAAAGCTTGCTATTCAGTTTCTAATTCGATGAGAATTATAGAATTAACTTTGTTTCAGAGTAGAGGCGACTAATGATTTCACAATAGCCAAGTGGTGTTTTTTTTTTTTCCCCCTTCCTTTCCTTCATTTGAAACTTCATGTCACAAAACAGATTTCTGGTACATTGTTACTGTCTCCAAATTCTTTCAGCAGGACGAATCTGTCTGATATTTGCTGCCCAAATCTCAACTAATTTAGTGTAGCCTTTAGAAGAAATCAAATTTAGTGTGTTTTACAAATATGACTACTCTTCATTTTTTATTCGTGTGAGCAGGGAAGAAAAAAAATAAAGACCTTTTGAAAGCTCTTCTAAGATCATAGGCGATTGGATGATTCACATGGGAGGAGGCCTCAGAAAGGCCCCAGCCTGATCTCCTGTTCAAGGCAGGGTTTGTTCTGAGCTCCAACTGAGTTGCTCAGTGTTTTACCCATTCAGGTCTTGAACCATTGAATGGTTTGTGTTGGACAGGATCTTAAAGATCATCCAGTTCCAAGCCCCCTGCTGTGAGCAGCGTTGCCACCCACTATATGAAAACCTCCAAGAATGGAGATGGCACAATCTCTGCCACTCCTTTCCCTCATGAGGCAACAGTCTGTCCTTAAATCCCATTCAGGCCTCTTGTTTCATCTTGTCCCTCTCATCCACCCAGCTGTGAATGGCCCGGCTCTATCTATTATCCCTTTGTAGGCCCTGGCGGCTGCTGTTTGGTACCCCACCTCTCTCTCCTTCTGGCTGCCTTGCTTTGCTTTGCTATTCTCACACTGCTGAAAACTTTTCAGTGTTCTCTGGCATGGGAGACCCATATTTCCCAAGGCACCAAACCAGAGGATGCTCAAATCATTCACGATTTCACCTACATCTGAGTGTCTGCTTCCCCTGACATTTCCTTAAGACCTTCAAGCTCAGGGAAGGCAGATTTAGGTTAGATATAAGGAAAAAATATCTCACTATGATGGTGGGGAAGCACTGGAACACGTTACATAGTGATGTGGTTGATGTCCCGTCCCTGGAGAATTTCAAGGTGTGGCTGGATCAAATCCTGGGCAACCTGATCTAACTGTGGTGTCGCTGTTCATTGCAGGGGACTAGATGGCCTTCAGAGGTCCCTTCCAATTCTAAAGATTCTACGATTCAGCTCAAAATTGTTCACAATGTAAATACTCAGACTCTCATTTAACTTCTCAGCAGCCACCTTAGAAATGCCAGGCTCGATGGCTGCCACCAGACCCCTCCCTGGTTGCCAGGTGGTGTCCAGCAGCCCCCTTTGCCCCATTTTTTTTCATCTCAGAAAGTGGCAAGGAGATGCGGGACATCCACAGCGGTACGCTCTGCCCGCCGGGTGAGGTCTATAATCAGGGCAGGGTCGGAGTTCGGGGCGGCGGTGGGCGCACCCTCCCCGCGGTGGCTCCTCCCGAGTTCGGCGAGCCCCACCGTCAGGGCGGCGAGGGCGGGCCGGGACCCGGAAGAGGAGCCACCGCCGCCCGCCTGACTTCCCCGGCTGGAAAGCAGGCAGTCAGGCAGGCGGACGCCATGCTGCAGTTCTTGGTGAGGCTCCGCGAAGCGGCGGCGGCGCCGCCATTTCGTGGCGGGGCGGGGCGGAGCGGAGCAGAACGGAACGGAGCGAGGGGGCGGCGGGCGGCGGGGCGAGGGTTAAGCCGCGGGGCGGGAGGCGGCGGCGACCGCTCCGGATGGGCCTCACGTGGGGAAAGCGAGGGGCTGGCAGTGCCCCCGCCCCTCTTACTGCTGTGACGGGTGCTTGGCTTTGGTTCATCGCCATGCACGGAGGTTATTCTCAGCCGTTCGGAAAACGGGGAGTTTATGCCTTATTTCTCTCCAAGTCATGCCTTTAGTTTGTCGTTAAGGTTCAGCACTTTTTCCTTGCTCGCTGTTGTATCCTCTTTTTGCTCTGATTTCTTAGCACTACAGGTGTGCCTCGCTCGCTCCTGTTACGAGAGCGATGATTTTCAGCATTAGGAAGATGCAAGTTCTCTTACATATATGTTAAGGCAAGCAGTAATGCTTAATCACTGCCATGCATTAAGCCCCTCCAACAGAAGAATTAATAGATTAGATGTTTCTACACTTATTTTTCTTTTCATTTTAATTTTCTGTTCCTGTATGTCCTTTATGTGAGGTGAGGGTCAGCCCCTTAACCCAGGGAACAGCGATTCGACAGGAGGTAATGGCCTCGAATTGCACCAGAGGAAGTTTAGGTTGGATATTAGGAACAATTTCATCTCAGAAGGGGTGCTGCAGTGACATGGGCTGCCTAGAGAGTGGTGGTGGAGTCACTGTCCCTGGAGGTGTTCAAGAGCCATGTGAATGTGGCACTGAGGGGCATGGTTGGGATGAGCTAGTGTTGGACAAGATGATCTTAGTGGTCTTTTCCAAACTAGATGACTCCATAATTCTTCTGGATGTCTGAGGTTTGATGCCTGCCTGCTCTTAATTCATTATTTAACACTGAGATTTTCACTGACAAATGTGACATTAGCAGACCAAAGTAATAATAAAAGATGCTGCTCTCTGCTGTAACAGAGCACAGAAGCAGACTCCCATTTTTCATTCTAGTGGCCTGCAAATCATTGGAAGGTCTATTCTAGATTTTCATTATGCTTAAATACTTAATGACATCCTTTAATCTTTAAATAGGGGAAGAGTGAGTCGGCTGGTTAATAAGTTTCATACTCACTGTTGATAGAAGAGATGGCCCTTTGTGAGTTCTGAGTCTTGCACGATTCTATGAGTTGAAAAGATAAGTGTTATTTTGTATCTCAAGTTCAAAACAAAATGGAACAATCAGCAGTTATGAAAGCCTGTCATTTCTGTATCTGTCTTTGTCTGCCTCCACTCCATTGAAGACACAGTAACAATGAAAATACAGTCTCCTCAAAGTTTCTGTGTTTATCAACTCTACTGCTTGCTGCTAATATTTATTCTTTTTTTTTTTTTTTTCCTTTTTTCCAGTTGCTAGATGAAAGCCTTTTATTATGGCTTCTCAATTAGTGCCTGAAAGTTTAAGAAGTAACATATTAGTTCTGAATTTTCTTCCTCTTTGGGTGTAGATTGGGTGTTTGACTTTTTGCTGTCCCTTGTCAGGGCTGTTGCAGGGAGATAAAAGGATAATCTTAACAACCTTGCATTTTTGTTACCCAGAGTTAAGCATAAAAGTTTGCTTAAAATGCAACTTGAAATTTTGGGTATTGGAAGACCCAGCACTTTCACCAGCTTTATTGTTGCTGATTAACATACACATTTAATTGGCTGTATTTTTATGCAGTCCAAATTACAGAAGTCTGAATAGTGGGACTTTTCCCTCTGCTTGAATTGTTAATTATTAACGTAAACATAACTGGGTAGCTTGCTTTTGAATGCAGTGCTGGACTTTTCAATAAAGGCATATACTGAAATGGATTACTAATGTCAGCCATACTGAGTATCATCTGGCAGAATATGAGATAGTTGACCCATCATTGGAAATATTCTATGGCAAAAATTGAGAAACCTGCTCATAAGCAAGGACTTGGTTTGTGTTTTCAAGTGAATTCCCAAAGATATATATGCTAGAGGTTGAGGAAACTTGTTGGAGTGATACAATACATCAAGAGGAGTCATAAGTCTGGTACACTTGGTGCAACATTTATTAATGTCTTCCAAAGTACTTACTTAACTGCAATAGCAAGTTAAAACCGTTGCAGTATACACAAAAAGAGCAATGATTCTTCTTAAATTGTAAACAGCTCCTTAGGAAGTAATTATAAATAGATTATAAGATCAAAAATCTGTGCAAGAAAATACTGAAGTTATGCAGTTGTGGCTCATGGGGCAGCTTTCAACAAGGTTTTGTTTTCTGTAGCTAGGTTTCAGCACTGGTATTTGTGGAGTCTGAGTCACTGTAAAAATGAGATGTTCTGTATCCTCTTTTGGGTATGGAAAAGATGTCTACTCAGATGTGATGGTAAAGTCGTTGTGGACACTAGTTTTAATTTTCTTAAAATATTCTTATTTTGGCAGCAGAGGCTATAAGCAATAATAATTTTCTTAAATAGAACTGGAATGGAGGCACAGCATTGGTAGTCTCCCAAAACTATCAAAAGAGCTTTCATAGGTTAGTATCTTACTGTGGAATGTAATAACTAATTATCCAGAACCTTTTGGAGCTCCTGACTGAAAATCGTGTAGGCTGTCTTTGAAGAGATGAATTCATTTTCCTCCCAGAGTGATGTTACGCATGAGGATTTTCTTCAACTGTCAAGGAGGGGGATAGAACTGGAACTGTGCTTCCATTTTGCTCTTGCTCCCCTTCCAGGTTGCAGTTTCACAGCCAAACTTTAAGCAACTACTAGTTTGTTGTCAAAAATAGTTGTACCTGCTTTCAACTATCAGTGCTTTCCCACTTTAGATCAGAGTAGATTTGGATGAAAACTTATCTAGGGGGTGTACAGGTGCTGGTGTTGTAGAAGTAGCTGCAGTAGAGTGCTGGAGCAAAGTGGAGAGGGGTGAGGAACCTCACCTCAGTGACAGTGCAGTTCTGTATCATTATAGCTGATGGAGAAGAACCTTTTAAAGTACCTTTAGAACCTTTCTGTTCTAAAATTTCAGTTCTGTTACTGTGTATTATTATTGTGTTGAGTCATTCTGTGGCCTGTCCTCTCTGTAACATGGAATGTTGTTTTACTGAGGTATTGCTCTTGGATTTTCAGCTGTGGACCACAGTCATTGAGCCCCTGCTGTTGTGATGTTGTACTTTTCCACTGTTATGGAAGTTATTGCCTGACTTTATAGGCGTGTAAAGAATTTTGCAGACAAAGATGATCATAGGCTTATGCATACAGTCTTGGAGATATATATTTAAAGCACAGTTGTGCTGTATTTTGGAAATTATTATAAGATTTTTCTGGCGAGGCAGTTGAGTCAAACTGTATCTCTCTTTGAAAGAATGATGCAAAAGTATGACTGTAATTGAAATTTCTTCAGTTTTTAATTTTTTACATTTTCAATTTAATCAAAAGGCTTTTGGTAGAAGGGCACTAACTATTCTCTTCTTTCCTTTACAGCTTGGTTTTACTCTTGGCAATGTGGTTGGGATGTATCTGGCTCAGAACTACGATGTATGTATCCTTGTATTCTTAGAGTTGAACTTAATTTGAATTGAAAATGTTAAAATGTTTGCCTTCAAACAAAATTGAATCAGTCTTTATTTTGATGTTTGTATTGGATTTGAACGGAATACAAATTGTACTAACTTTAGCTACAGGTGATCTCAAATTCAAATGGAACCAAAACATTGGTCTCCTTGCTGGGTCATCTGTATGAAAGTAGTGATTAAACCCTCAAGTAATTCTAGAGCACAGTTACTGTAGCTGGGCATATATATTGGTACATTTCTTTATTAAGTCAGTTCCACTTGGCTTCTTTCAGGCTAAAGGAGTAAAATTTAACATAAAGTTGTTTCCTTTATTTTGAAATCTATACCAAACTAAAGCTTAAGCCTCACCAGATTTTTTTTTTTTAAGTCTGTGATGACATTTATGCCTCTCATCTTCAGTATCTTCAGTCATCTTGCTAGCAGAATTCTTATTTTTTGTCCACTAGTCAGAGGCAAAATTCTGTGATGCTTTCTGTCCAGTCAATCCAATAACTGTAACAATATTCTGTTGTCTCTTTTACAATTAGTGTTTTTTAAAATTTATAGAAATGTGGTCAAAAGAAAATATTGTGTATCAGTATGTGCTGTAAACATAATGGAGTGCTTTTCTGGAAGCACTAATAATGTGTTTCCACAAGAGGGCGACTTCTGCTTTTGATTTGGAGGAAACGGTTTACTGGCAATATCACGACTTCAAGTATTAAAATGGTAATTTTATTGCTGGTATCAAAAAAATATTTTTCTTAGATTGCATGGAAGGTGAACTTGTCTTAATGAGGTCTTAATTTGGCAACCATATAGAACTGTGCTTAGTTATAAGCATGTGGATAATTCTGCTGATAGCAGCGGACTTCTTTTGGTTTATTGTAGATGTCAGGCATATTATGGATTTATGGCTTTTAATTTAGCTTTCTCAAAAAGGAAGAGAGAAGTTTCTGACATCTTCTGTACTATCACTATCAAACCATCCAAGCAAAGGGTGTCAGTTTGAGTTGAATATCCTGCTGCATGATCAGGGCACGAGTGTAGTAAATATTCATGATTATAAAGAAAGTCATAAATACCAATGGAAATGTTCATTTGTTTTCATTTACTCATTTAGCTTATAAAATTACAGGAATATCCTGAGTTGGAAGGGACTCATGAGGATCACTAAGTCCAAAATCCTGTGGTGTTGCTTCAGTTTTAGTTCAGGTCGTGAGTCTGTCCTCACATTAAAAGTTCTTTTTTTTTTTCCTTTCCCCCAAGTGGTCAATGCTGACTGATTGCTTTCTCAAAATGCTTTTATTTGTAAAAGAAAGCTGAAAATTTGAAGTTAGCAAGTGATAAATTGAATTTTTCATTCAAGTATGAAACTGCATAAGGTTGCCAATTTTCAATGCAGTAAACTTTCCCAGTGGGGAATTTTCGTATCTGCAAAATGGATCGAGAAATGGATTGCTTCACAAATTTTTTTAGAAGATATTAGTTGTTCTTGAACATCTTTTCTCTCTCTTTTTTTTATTTTCGGGGGGGCGGGGTGGAGGGAAGGTTGTTTTGTATTATGAGTAGGGTTTTTTTGACTAGCGTAGCACAGTCTACCTTTCCTTCCAAATTCATTATGATGCCTATGCATCAGTGTTGGAATCATTTATTCTTTGGCAGTTCCTCCTGTCAGTGAGAAAGCCAGGCTAATCTTAAGGAATTTCCTCTGAAGTAACTTCTTTTCCTCTCTTCTCCCCAATACTGGTTGTCTTTTTCCTTAACAATCTGCCTAGTCAAAAATATTTCCTGAAGTCCAGGTGAGCTTCTTTTCTCTGCCATTTGCTTAATGCTCTTAATTTTTGTGAAAATTAACAGATCCTAAAAACAAGCATCTTTTAGAAAGTGGTTTAAATTTCTTAGAATTTCTTGCAGTGTTTATGGTATGATCTTACCTACTCTTCAGATCACATGAATCATTTTGTTGTTGTTCAGTTTTGTTTCTCTCTTGTTTTTGTCTTTAAAGATTCCTAACATTGCAAAGAAGCTTGAAGATTTTAAGAAAGATGTGGAAGCTAAGAAGAAACCTCCCAGTGACAAGTCCTAAGAGAGCAGTGTTACCCAGGTCACTTCAGTGCATGCATCAAGGATGCAATTTACCCTTCTATTGACAAAGATCAAGTAGAGATTTGGCATGGGAAGTTCCTCCACTTTTAGTTTGCTAGAGCCAGAATGTCCTTGTTTTGAAAAAGCAACCATGAACTTTTCCTGGGACTGATTTTCAAGGGTTTCAGAATTCTGGATTTGCAACTGATAATGTGACTGGATAAGATCATTTGTATTTTTTGTTATTGCTTTTCCTAGTATTTTGTAACCCATTTTTACCTGATCCAACTGGAAAATAGTGTTAGTCCTGTTATTCTGTATACCTCACACTTTGTAATACTCTAGATCCTAGAACTAGATCGCAAAAGAAATTAAATGCATCAAGAAGTAACTTTCAGGATTTCTTGTAATTTGTTGCGAGTATTTCTTAGATCTGCATTCCCTTATTGGAGATGGGAACTTCCTGGGATTCTGAAATGGGGGACATGACAGTAACGTACATTTTTCAAACTATGAGCCTGGATGGAGGGAGAAGTTCCCATTTTTTCCATTATGTTAAATGATCACTTCCACCAGTGTAACATTTGTACAAGTGTGGAGAAGGCTCTGGGGAGACCTCACTGTGGCTTTCCAGTCCTTGAAGGGAGCATATAAACAGGAGGGGGAATATCTGTTTACATGGATTGATAGTGATAGGACAAGGGGGAAATGGTTTTAAACTAAGACAAGGGTGATTTAGGTTAGATATTAGGATGAAGTTTTTCACACAAAGGGTGTTGAAACACTGGAACAGGTTGCCCAAGGATGTTGTGGATGCCCCATCCCTGGAGACATTCAAGGCCAGGCTGGATGTGGCTCTGGGCAGCCTGGTCTGGTGGTTGGCAACTCTACCCACAGTAGGGGGGTTGAAAGTAGATGATCTTTTGAGATCCTTTTCAACCCAGCCATTCTGTGATTCCAGAAGGCATAAAACATTGCCAAATTTAAGCCACATTTTATTGTTTATTCTACTATTGCCTGTCTCCATTTTCTACTTTTTTTTTTTTTTTTTTTTTTTTAACCTGAGGATGTCTTTGGAATGATGGGTAGAATGTGATGCCGGCCTTAGCTTGGAAAGGGAATCATGGTAACCAAGGAATGTGGTTACAGTAGGCACCTGCAAGCCATTGACTCAGTGCATTTAATGGCCCAGTTTACATACTTGTTCTTGCTTGGAGCCAGGAGTTGGTTTCAGTGATCCTTGTGCGTTCCTTCCAACTCAGAATATTCTGTGATTCTGCTTTTGTCAAATATATTCTCTATCACTTCTTCAGTGCTCTGCATGGTCTTCAGCCCATTGGCTTTTTGTTTGGCTCAATTGTCTACCATGTATTTTCTTAGCATTAGAACCACTTCTCTGCTGTACCTCTTATTGTCAGTCTGGTATGTTCCTCATCACTTTTTTCTAGCCACTAAGATCTTTGAAAATACACATCATATTACCACTGTCGTCTTCTGTTAGAATGGAAAGCAAAGCCTGCATTTGGAAAGCATAGTTTTGCACAAGATTTTAAATTTCTAAGAAAATATTGCAGAAATTTGAATAGATGTTAGCTTTATTTGACAGATTACTAAATTAATAACATTTAGCCTCCTTTTTTTTTCCTGTAAAATAGAAGAGTCTTGTCAATTCTCAAAGGTTATTTAAATCCCTGTCCACTTGACAATCTTCAGCTGAACTTGAAGTACAAATTTTGTCTTTGCTACAAAGAATGCTGTTTTGTTCTATAGGCACAGTGAATTGTGCTGCTCCAGGTACACACATCTTTTAAGCTGTTAAATACAGGACTCCCTGTGTGTTCATATGATTTCCACCCGCTCCCCTCACGCTCCGAACCCATTAACTTGAATACGTCTGGGTGGATTCTGAGCTCAGGAATTTTCACAGAATCATCAAAGATGTTTACAAAAATCTTATACCAAACTTTCACTTCATTTTCCAAAGTTTGGTGATGATAGAGCTCTTCAGCAATGCAGTCCTGAGAAAGTACTTGTCATCGTAAGGTTCTCCTTAGAGAATATAAATAGCTAAGATATATATTGCTCATGATTTCCCACCCTTCCATTTTTTCACCTGCCCTATAAATACTTGACAAATTTAAAGCCATCTCAAGTTGGACAATCTTAGCAGCTATGCTACAGACTCTTCCTATAGTAAACAATAACAAACTGAAAAGAAAGATAAATATTTTTGACCACCTAATATAAGTTAGTAGAAAATTCACGCTAGCAGTATATGTTGAAGACTGTAAGGAGGTAATTTGTGAAGGGAGTTTGCAAATCAAGTACAGCCATGTTTACCTATTACTGAACTAGTAAAGTGTACTCTGGTCTTTGAAGAGTTTTAATTAGCTTTCACAAACTACAAACCAGACTGAAAGACCTATCTTCCACACACAGAAGCTTTTCCATGAAGCGAGACAGCACTGTACGGCTGTTTTCACTGCCTTCATGAATGTAATGAACTAAATTTCCCTCAGCTTCTGTTTTTTGTTGTTGTTGTTTTAAAAGTATGTGTGTGTGTGTGTGTATCTTTTACTGTCCTCTACTTTGTAGTCTTGAGGAGAATGTTGAAAAATACTGGCTCTAACCTACTTGCATTTCTTTGGTTGTCACATAAAATTATACTAACGTAATATTGAACTAGTTATTTCAACAAACGTTCTGCGTGTCCTTATGGTTCTTTACAGAGTGATGAGAAGAGGAATAATGCTCAAAATCCCTGCGTTTGGTGCCAGATAGGACTGTGTTATTCTATAATAACAGCTTTGGAGCAGAAATTTTCAGCTGAACGTTCCAAGCATGTCAGCACCTTTTTTTCCTATCAGATTATGAAGCAAAACAGCTACAGCTATAGTGCTGTACAAACAATATTTGTGTATTAATATTAGAGACAAGACTTCTTAATCATTTTGCAAGGCTTGTAACACTTTCCATTTTAGCTCAAGCTGTCTTTTTTTTTTCCTATTATAATAAGCTGGAATGTTAGATAACATACTGCAACACAGTTCTTGTCAACTTTGCAATTACTGTCTAATACAAGGCCTGCTCCAAATGCAATATTTTATTATATTGGTCCATGATATCAGAAGCAGATGTTGGTGGTATAGCAATAGAGGTTGAACCTTCCCACCAATATCCCATTACATTTTATTGTCATGAAACAAGTGGCACCAGAAGGGCGATCTGACAAAATGACATCTGACATGGAAGTGCTTATGGAAGAGAGTTGTGTCCTAGAATTCTTCCATGCAGAAAAAATGGCACCCACTGACATTCTTTGATGAATGTTTATGGAGACCAAAGAGTGAATGTGAGCACAGTGAAATGGTGAGTGGTGCATTTCAACTATGATGACAGCGATGTGGAAGACAAGCCATGTTCCATACGGCCATATAGATCTTGAGTGCATCATTCAGGCTCTTGTTCATTGCATAGCTCATGGTGATGACTGTGTTGAAAAATAGTGTTTTGTAGCTGGGAATTTGCTCCGTCAAGTAGTGTTGTTGTTCTCTTTGTATCTGTTGAAGTTTCCATGGATATTACTTTCAGAGTGACCTATGTCATCACTCATTTTACATGAGTGATTCAGCCTGAGGTTATCCTAGATGATACCAAAGGTTAACTTTATGTTATGTTTCAATGGCAAAAATTCCACATGGATAATGACTGCTTGATGCAGATCTTGCATCAGAGTGTTCAGAGGGACTTTGGTGCTGCTGTATCAGGTCACACTTTCATGACATCTAGGAGAAAGTTTCCCGTACAGACATTTTGAATGTGCAGAAATCCACAGTAACTATGAATATCTGGAATGATCTGCCAAAATATACCATCTTCCTTTCTACAACCTCTTAGGATAAATGCAGTTGGATCCATTTTCCATTGTTGATTATTCTGGGCCTTCTCAAAGGAGCTGAAGATTTGAAGCAAAGGCAGAAGAAAGGAACATATAAGCTACTAACAGACTTAAAATATTTACTCTAGATTGAGACATATCCTGTGATGGAAAACAGTACCCTAGGGAAAATGCTGCTCCTTTTCTTTTGAATACAGTAGAAGTTTAATATTGGGAAGACAGAAGATAGCAAGGATGATTATTACCTTGTGGGTCATCAGTGTTCAAATAAGGAAAGTAGAGTTTTGAGAGGAGTTCTAGCGCTTTACCACACACAACTTCACTGAGCTGTCTGCTCAGTGGTGCCATATTCTGTCACAGAACCACAGACCCTGGTAATATGGGTGTACTTCCTTCCCATGATCTTTGTTGCCCTTGGGCCAAACTCACTCCAGTATGCTCACGTCCTGATCCAGAACTCGGCATAGCAGTTTTGAAGCTGAAGTCCCAGATCAGTGCCCAAGCATGGCTTGGTCCAAGGGAGGATAACATGGGTGGGAATCCCAGGTGAGACCAGTAAGGGCTATAATGGCTCTTTATTATACTCAGGGCTCTGGCACTGGCTTTCTGAACCCCATGTGAATTAATTAAAGCTCGAATATCTCCAGTCTACTTGTGTGAAAGATAGATTATGCTGAAGAGGAGTTAATTAAGCATAGGACAAGAATTCATGAAGCTACCAGTTTATGGTTTTACATTAAGTAGCATTATCTACATCAGAAGCTTTTATAGTGAATTCAGGTAAGAACACATGACTCCTGTTACTTTAGCACATTGTTGAGAACGTTCTATAAGAGAGCTCTCCTTTCTGGTGAAAGGAAAAATATGTAGCTCATGAACCATCTTAATAAAGTTAACTATTTTGATGTCTGATGAGTAAAGTAATGTAGAACTGATTTATCACCACAGCACACTTCTAAGTGGCGGTGTTGCAGGGAATTATGGTGATCCTCAAAAATTTCATTGCCTTTGTGATGGAAGAATTTTTCCACTGTGGTTCTACTTTGTGGTTCTCCTTTGTCATGTGGTGCTGGCAGCTGTGTGCAGTAACAGCTGTTTAGACTTCTCAGTGTATGCTCTATTGAGCAATGTTATACATGTCAAGCATCTGGAAATGTGCTTTGAATGGCCCAGACTCCTGTTGGCCCAAAGAACAGATGGCCCTTAGATTAACTTTGAGATTGAAATGTTGTAAAGGAAGAAATCAGTGTTTTCAAAATTAACAAGGAGTTGATTTTATAAGCCTGAATTTTAACTGTATTTGTAGAAACATGACTGTGAACTCGTATTTCTACGTAAAAATTAATAGCTGCTCCATATGTGGTAGAATTACTTCAGATATTAGAAAGTTATGGTGTATATGGTAACGTAGATAATACTGGTAAACTACACAGAGACAGTTCCCTTAATGCTCTTTCTATTTTTGCTTCAGATGGACAACAAATTCCACTTAC